CGGCAGACCACACAGGAGCACGGCAGACCCCACAGTAGCAAGGCAGACCCCAAAGGAGCACGGCAGACCACCGGAGCACGGCAGACCACACAGGAGTACGGCAGACCCCACATGAGCACGGCAAATCCCAAATGAGCACGGCAGACCACAAGAGCAAGGCAGACCACACAGGAGCACGGCAGACTCCACAGGAGCACGGCAGACCACAAAGGAGCACGGCAGACCACACAGGAGCCCGGCAGACGCCACAGGAGCACGGCAGACGCCACAGGAGCACGGCGGAACCCACAGGAGCACGGCAGACCGCGCGCGGGTACAACATAAACGCGCCTTTTTGTTGTACCCCGAACGCCGCTGGCGTTTCCCCAACAGGAGCACGGCAGATCTCACAGGCGCGCGGCAGACCCCAAATGAGCACGGCCGACCACAGGAGCACGGCAGACCCCAAATGAGTACGGCAGACCCCAAAAGAGCACCGTAGACGCCTCAGGAGCACGGCTGACCACACAGGAGCACGGCAGCCTGGGCCGGTTCCGGCGCCGGCCGGCGCCGGAAAATTGAATTCCGAGGCGGTGCCGAAAAAAGGCCACTCCAAGACATATTTTTCTTTCGAAAATATTGATTTTCTGCTCCCGGCGCCCGGGAACCCCTTCCGGGCCGCTTCTGGCACCCGGGCCGGCGCTCGAGCCAAACGCCCGGGCCAGCACCCGGGCCAGCGCCCGGGCCGGTTCCGGCGCCGGCCGGCGCCGGAAAATTGAATTCCGAGGCGGTGCCGAAAAAAGGCCACTCCAAGACATATTTTTCTTTCGAAAATATTGATTTTCTGCTCCCGGCGCCCGGGAACCCCTTCCGGGCCGCTTCCGGCACCCGGGCCGGCGCTCGAGCCGAACGCCTGGGCCAGCACCCGGGCCAGCGCCCGGGCCGGTTCCGGCGCCGGCCGGCGCCGGAAAATTGAATTCGCGGGAAACCCCAAATGAGCACGGCAGACCACAGGAGCACGGCAGACCACACAGGAGCACGGCAGACGCCACAGGAGCACGGCAGACCGCGCAGGAGCACGGCCGGCGCCGGAAAATTGAATTCCGAGGCGGTGCCGAAAAAAGGCCACTCCAAGACATATTTTTCTTTCGAAAATATTGATTTTCTGCTCCCGGCGCCCGGGAACCCCTTCCGGGCCGTCCGGGCCGAGCCAGGAGCACCCGGCCAGACCGCCAGGCGCCGGCCGGCGCCGGAAAATTGAATTCCGAGGCGGTGCCGAAAAAAGGCCACTCCAAGACATATTTTTCTTTCGAAAATATTGATTTTCTGCTCCCGGCGCCCGGGAACCCCTTCCGGGCCGCTTCCGGCACCCGGGCCGGCGCTCGAGCCGAACGCCTGGGCCAGCACCCGGGCCAGCGCCCGGGCCGGTTCCGGCGCCGGCCGGCGCCGGAAAATTGAATTCCGAGGCGGTGCGGAAAAAAGGCCACTCCAAGACATATTTTTCTTTCGAAAATATTGATTTTCTGCTCCCGGCGCCCTGGAACCCCTTCCGGGCCGATTCCGGCACCCAGGCCGGCGCTCGAACTCGAACGCCCGGGCCGGCACCTGGGCTGGCGGCCGAGCCGGATCCAGCGCTGGCGTCGGCTCTGGCCGTCGCCGGAAAAATTGAATTCCGAGGCCGCGCTAACAAAACTCATCCAAACAGATTTTTCGAAAGTGCATCATTTCTGCTCCCGGCGCTCGGAGGCTTCTGCGTCTCAAGGAGAGGTGGAGCAGACATTAAAGGAGGTAAAAGCAAGCACACGAACGCTATGGACGCGCGATGCGCTGCCACAAGCCAGCTTCCCGCAAGATCGGTCCAGACTGGGAGGGGACGGAGCTGGGCGGGTGATGGACCACCAGAGCACTGCTACAGCCTTCCCTCAGCCCTGGGTCTGCTGACCACACAGGAGCACGGCAGACCACACAGGAACACGGCAGACCACACAGGACACGGCAGACCCCACGGGAGCACGGCAGACCACACAGGAGCACGGCAAACCACACAAGAGCACGGCAGACCATACAGGAGCACGCCAGACCACACAGGAGCACGGCAGACCACACGTTCGCACGGCAAACTCCACAGGAGCACGGCAGACCCCAAAGGAGCACGGCAGACCACAGGAGCACGGCAGACCGTCTTCGAGGCCTCTTGGGCCGTCTTGGGGCCCTCTTGGAGCCATCTTAGCCGTCTTGGAGGCCATCTTGGCCGTCTTGGAAGACATCTTGGGCGTCTTGGAGGCCTCTTGCGCCGTGTTAGGGCCCTCTTGGGACCGTCTTGGGGACTTCTTGGGCCGTTTCGGGGCCATCTTGAAGGCCTCTTGGGCGATCTTAAAGCGATCTTGGGGGCCTCTTGGGCCGTCTTGGGCCGTCGGAACGCGGCAGGCCATCATTTAGTCTGTTCTGTTGCGTTTATGGGTTTCTCTGACGTTCTCGCCAATACGGTCTCTGACGCACGTGGTGGATAAAAAACGGCGCTTCCCGTTCTTGTCCGGTCAGGTTCCCCACAATGGCCATTTCGCTCGAGACATCCTCCTAAAATCGAGGTGTGGTCTGCCGTGCTCCTGTGTGGTCTGCCGTGCTCTTGTGGTCTGCCGTGCTCCCCACAGGTGCACGGCAGACCGCGCGCAGGAACCGAGAGGAGCACGGCAGACCAAAACGAGGAGCACGGCAGACCAGGCACTGAAACCGAGAGGAGCACGGCAGACCAAGACGAGGAGCACGGCAGACCAGGCACCAAGAGCGCCCTCAAGACGACGGAAAGGATGACCAAGACGAGGAGCACGGCAGACCAAGACGAGGAGCACGGCAGACTATGCCCTAAGAGTGCCCTCAAGACGGCCGAACAAGCGGGACGTTCTGGCTGAATCCTTGAGTAAATATATCTTTTCTTTAACTATATGGGTTGAGCACGGCAGACACCACACGAGCACGGCAGATCCCAAATGAGCACGGCAGACACAGAAGCACTGCAGACCACACAAGAGCACCGCAGACCTCACAGGAGCACGGCAGACCCAACGGCAGACCCCACAGGAGCACGGCAGAGCAGACCCAAAAGGAGCACGGCAGACCACACAGGAGCAAGGCAAACCACAGGAGCACGGCAGACCACACAGGAACACGGCAGACCCCACAGTAGCAAGGCAGACCCCAAAGGAGCACGGCAGACCACCGGAGCACGGCAGACCACACAGGAGTACGGCAGACCCCACATGAGCACGGCAAATCCCAAATGAGCACGGCAGACCACAAGAGCACGGCAGACCACACAGGAGCACGGCAGACTCCACAGGAGCACGGCAGACCACAAAGGAGCACGGCAGACCACACAGGAGCCCGGCAGACGCCACAGGAGCACGGCAGACGCCACAGGAGCACGGCGGAACCCACAGGAGCACGGCAGACCGCGCGCGGGTACAACATAAACGCGCCTTTTTGTTGTACCCCGAACGCCGCTGGCGTTTCCCCAACAGGAGCACGGCAGATCTCACAGGCGCGCGGCAGACCCCAAATGAGCACGGCCGACCACAGGAGCACGGCAGACCCCAAATGAGTACGGCAGACCCCAAAAGAGCACCGTAGACGCCTCAGGAGCACGGCTGACCACACAGGAGCACGGCAGACCACACAGGAGCGCGGCAAACCACAAAGGAGCAAGGCAGACCCCAAATGAGCACGGCAGTCCACACGTTCGCACGGAAGACCGCACAGGAGCACGGCAGACACCACATGAGCACGGCAGACCAAGACCACACAGGAGCACGGCAGACCACACAGGAGCACGGCAGACCACACAGGACACGGCAGACCCCACGGGAGCACGGCAGACCACACAGGAGCACGGCAAACCACACAAGAGCACGGCAGACCATACAGGAGCACGCCAGACCACACAGGAGCACGGCAGACCACACGTTCGCACGGCAAACTCCACAGGAGCACGGCAGACCCCAAAGGAGCACGGCAGTGGTACGTGGCACTGCTGTGGTATGCCGTACTAAAAACGTGGAATATCTCATAAGCCCAGGGGACAAAAGGACGCTTCCCGTTCTTGTCCGGTCAGGTTTTTGAAAAATGACCGTTTATCTCGAGACATCCTCCAAAAATCGGCCCAAGAGGGGACTCCGCATCGACGTCGTGTTCGAATAGCTCTTGGAGTGTTTTCCAACGGCCCAAGGTAGGCCCAAAAGACGCCCCGGAGAGCCCCAGGAACGCCCAAGAACGCCCCAAGAAGACCCCACGAGACCCCCAAGAGCGCTCTAGGAGCCACCCAGACAGCTCACAAGAACCCCAAGACGGCCCAAGCAGGGCCAAGAAGGCCCCAAGAGACTCCCGGGAGCGTCCCAGGAGGCCCTCAGCGCCGAGACGGCCTAAGAAAGCTCCCACAGAACACCACGACGCGCCCAGGCAGCCCAAGAAGACCCCCAGAAGCCCATCAGAGGACCCAAGGGGCCCCAAGAAGCCCCCCAAAGGCCCCAAGAGAACCCCGCGCGGCGCCAGGAGCAACGTCTTTCTCCAATTGCCTCGTACTGTCCTCTGTCGTCGTCGTCGTCGTCGTCGTCGTCGTCGTCGGCGTCGTCGTCGTCGTCGTCGTCATCATGGCCCTCCGCATTCCTCCTCGTACTCGCCCTCGTTCTCTTCGTCCTCGTCCTTGTGCTTCAATTCCTCCTCGTTGTCCTCATGCTCATCCTCGCTATCCTCACGTTCGCCACGTCGTCCTCGTCATCGACTCCTCGTTGTCCTCGCCTTCCTTTTCTTCCTCGCCCAATACGCCCATTTGACTACAGCGGCGCTTCCCGTTCTTGTCCGATCCGGCTTCTTGGGGCGGCGCACGGGCCCCCAGCCGGCGCCGCCGTTGGCGCGCTCCGCGCGCCATGGAAGAGGGGCCCAGCGACGACCCAAGAGATTTGTGCGGGTCTACCGAAGTTTATGCTTATGCATGTGTGTTGTTCTTTCAAGGTCTACGCCACGAGCACCAAGAGATCCAAGGCGTGGGACAACCTGATGAAGACCCAGACGGCCAGGTGCATGGACTGCGGCACCCCGACGTGCCACAGCCCGAACCAGGGCGGCGGTGGGTGCCAGAGGGCGAAGACATGGCACAACACAAGCATTTGGAGACCTCCTCCTGCTTCTCCTCCTCCTCCCTCCCCTCGTTGTTTCTTGTTCTCTAATCCTCCTCGTCCTCCCCCCTCCTCCACTTCCACTTCTTTTCATTCGAAGTAGCCTTTCCCTGCCGCATTCCGAGACGTGTCATAAGGGTGGGCCAGGCGTTTCGCTTGAGGCTTACTTTCCATCCATGATTCTGGAGCGGAACATTTGCAACACTTTCACGGCTGAGGGTTTTTTTTTATTCCTGAAATGTGGCTCACGCATCAGCGCCGCGCACATTCGAATACAACATTGCAAGAAGTTCACGGTGGAGGGCGGGTCGTTTCTAGAATTTGGTTCCCGTCGAGAACCAAACTTTAGATGTTCGTGGCGATAGGTCGAGAACTTCTCGACCTATCGCCGCGCGCACTCATTGAACAAGTTTGCATTGGTTTCACGGATGGAGGGCAGATCGTTTTTGAAATGTGGTTCTCGATTCATCGCCGCGCACACCCGCTGTAAAAGTTCGCAGTTGCTTCCCGGACGGAGGGTGGTTCTTTTTCCAAATATAGTTCTCGCCTATGCGCCCCACACATATGTCCGAAGCACTTGCAACAGGTTCACGGGTGGAGGGCGTTTATTTCTCAAAATGTGGTTTTCGCCCGAGCACCTCGCGCATTCGTTGTAAATGTTGGCAGCAGTTTCACTCATGGAGGGCGGGCCGGTTTTAACAGTAATTCTAGCATTAGCGCCGCGCACATTCGTTGTACAAGTTTGTACCAGTGTCACGGATGGGCTGCGGGTCGTCTCTGGTTTTTGCTTTAGCGCCGCGCACATTCGTCGTGCAACTTCGCATCCGTTTCATGGGTCGAAGGCTGGTCGTTTTCTAGATGTGGCTCTCGACTTGGCGCCAGGCGCATTCGTTGTAAAAGCCTGCGGTCCTTTCACGGATGAAGGGCGACTCCTTTTCAAAGTGCGGTTCTTGCGTTAGTGCCGCGCACATTCGTTGAAAAATATTACAGGAGTTTCGCGAATGGAAAGCAAGCCGTTTTTAACATGTTGTTCTCGCCCCCCCGCCACGCCCATTCGTCGAGTCCTGAAATTTTGCAACCAACAAGCTTCGGGTGCTCTCAACACGTATGGAGGCTGGACCAGATCCTCGTGCCCTCATTGGAAGGACCGATCACGTAGCTTCACGTCGGACCTCACAAGTGCACTTTTGCCAGATCCGCATGGAGTTCCAGGGCAAGAGGTGCATCAACAAGGTGCGTGGGAAGTTCCACGAGAGCAGAATTTTTTTTGGTCCGATCGATGCAAGGGGTGGCTCCCTGAAACCTGGACCCCGGTGCTCGGTCGGGCTCCCAGCGCAGGCAAGGATGCGACAGTGGATTACTGGAACGCCAAAGGGCTGGCAGAAACACAGCTCTCCAGGCAGCAGATTCTGCGGCACATCGAGCCCATCTTCTCTCCTGATGCTCAACCCGAGTGGTGTCTTTGATATGCTTCGGAGGTACGGTACAGCATGGCATGCTCTTTGGACCACTGGTCTTGAGAGATTTAGCAAGGACGGCCATCCGAATTCTGGCTTCTGGCACGCGGAATGCTCGGACTCTATGCGCATGGATTGGGTTGATCATTCTGGAAAAAGCTGGCTACTTGAGGCGGGGTGATGCGTGCTGCCTTTTTTCTGCTAGTTCTGGGGGTTCACCAAACCAAAGCTTGTTTTCAAGATGTTGCTCCTTACTGCTCGGTGATCTGCAGCACGGCATCTTGTCATTCTTCGCGCAACAAGGACAGCGTTGCTACGGTGCTCCCTCTGTTGGCGGATGCTGCCAAATATGCGATGACGACCGCTATGGCTACGGACCGGGTCCTCAAAGTGACGGCGTCAGCGGGACAGGTCGAGGTGCGGCGCTACAACATTCATAACCATAATCTGTCTGGGTCACAAGATAATGGCAGTCGTCGCGCCCTTTTAAAACAATATCGACCGGGCGAGACTGCACTCGCGCTCGCGGCTTCTTCTCGTTGCGGGGAGATGAAGTTCGCATCGAGAAGCAAGCTGGACCTTGTTCAACCGCAGAGGACGAACTCGCTCAGCGGCCACCACAACCCCCGACAGCTTGCATCACAATGGAAAACTGTTATCGACACTCTGTTGGGGCTCTTTGCGGACGGCCTGGCGCACTTTTTCCAAAGATACGTGCAATTTGTCATCGCTCGACAGGATGTGGACAGCCACCGCATCATGGATCATGGTCTGATTTGGTCCTGGGTCCCCGACCGCGTAGCGCCGAGATTTTTCACGCAGGGAAGGGCAGAGACAGCAAGGACCTCGATTTCCCGCCTACGGTTTTCGAGCGTCCAGGTTTTTCGTCCACTCTGGAGAGTCTTGCGGAGTACGAGGTGCACGATGCTGCCCGCATATATCACCGACGCCAGCTTCAACGCTCTAATGAGCGGGCACCGAGGCTGCCAGCATCACCACCAAAACGAGGCTTAATGTGGCTACTAATGATTTCCAACAGCATTTTGTTTTTGTCAGACAGACGGCGCGGGCGGCATGGGGGCGCGATGCCAGACTCGCAGCGCGCATCCTTTCCGCTTCGTCGGCGGTAGCCGCCAGCATTTGTATCGCGGATGGCAAGGTGGCGATTGCGGGCAATGGATTTTTCAGGGGCTGGACAGAAAGGACCCACTGCCACGCGCCAAAGGAAGACACATCAGCGAATCAAGGGGGCGTTGCCGCAGCTAGACGCAAGAAGGGACTGGAGGCCAAGACCACCGCAGCGGAGAGGAGGGCGCACATGCGGGTTTCCAGTGGTTAAAGGAGGGGCGAAGGAGGGCTACGTGGCGAATTTCAGCCAAGAGGATCAGATGCAGGCCAGTTGTAACTATTGGGTGTCTGTGTTTACGGAGGTTCCCGTCGATGAGATGTATGATGTTTTTGCCCGGTAGTCTGCGAAGGAGTTCGTGGTTCTGCGCGTCCCCGCCGCTTTCCCGCCGCCCAATCTGGAGCGGATGGCGCGCGCCATCCAAGCGGTGAAGGGGGGGCGCATTGTACCAAGAGGTGATGGTATTCCGCATCGTGTTTGGGCGGCATCAGCGCTGCGTGCTGGGATACTGTGGGGCGCTGCGCTGTGGGTGCTCTGTGGTGGCAGAGTGCTTCGTTCTGCGGGCGTCGCCAAACTGGTTTTCCTTCCCAGAGGCGCTCATCCTGACGACCAGCCCAGTGGCTCGGTCATTCGTGCTCCTGGAGATTCGCACACATGGGCTCTGCAGTTATGATGTCAAGTTTTTTCGACGACGTTCAACCCAGCGTATTGCGAGTTTGTCAAATACATCGCCCCTCTGACCTAGTGTGGCTCCATACCCCTGGGCGTAAATTCGCCGACAAGATGGAGACGGAAGGTGGGCACCATAATGGCGAGAGTAACAACACCATGCGCTACATCTGATCGGTTCAAGCCTGCTGCTGCGGCTGCTGCTGCTGCTGCTGCGGGCGACAGGCACCCAAGGTGGGGGGGCACTGAGGGCACAGCGCCCTGCGCTACGTGACGTTTCAGCGCCCTGCGCTCTGTAATGCAATAGCGCCGTGCGCTACATGACGGGACGGCGCCACGCGCCATGTGGGCATGCGCCAGGTGGGCGCCCTGCTCTCCGCCGTGCCTCCCGGGAGCCCACGAACGTAGCGACAGTCGCGCACTTAGCAGTTCCCCCAGGGAGCCGCGAGGTCTCGGCTGGACCCCGGCGGACCTCCCATGGAGCCAACGAGCGCTTCGCAGCCACCCCAGGGGACGGGGAGGTCTCGGCTGGGTCTGCGCGTCCCCCCACTCCGCCGGACCTCCCAGGAACTCACGAAATTGGCGACGGGTGCGCTTTTCGCGGCCCCCCAGGGAGGCGCGAGGTCTCGGCTGGGCATGCGTGTCCCTCCACCTTGCTGGACCCGCCAGGAGCCCACGAAAGCACCGACGGTTGCGCACTTTGCAGCTCTCCAGGGAACCGCGGGGTCTCGGCGGGGTCTGCGTGTCCCTCCTCTCCGCTGGACCCCACAGGAGCCCACGAAAGTGGCGACAGTCGCGCCGTATTTCGCCGCCCCCCAGAGGTCGCGGTTGTGTCTGCGTGGTCTTCCGCTCTGCCCGGCCCCCCAGGAATTCACGAACGTAGGGTAGGGACAGATGCGCATTCGCATACGCCCATGGAGCCGCGAGGTCTCCGCTGGGTTTGCGTGTCACACCACCCCGCTGGACCTCCCCAGAGCCCACGAACCTGGCGACAGTTGTGTTGTTCGCAGTCTCCCAAAGACCCGCGAGGTCTCTGCTGGGTCAACGTGTCCCTCCAGTCCTCCAGGACCCTACGAAAGTGCTAATAATTTCGTATTTAGCAGCCCCTCAGGCCCAGGGGGCCGCGAAGTCTCTCCTGTTTCCCCCCATGGGGGCGCGAGCTGGAGGAGGAGGAGGAGGAGGAGGAGGAGGAGGAGGAGGAGGAGGAGGAGGAGCAGGAGGAGGAAAATGATAAGGAGGCGGAGGAGGGGGAGGAGGAGGAGGAGGAGGAGGAGGAGGAGGAGGAGGAGGAGGAGGAGGAGGAGGAGGAGGAGGAGGCGGACATGGAGGAAATGGAGGAAAGACGGAGACCACAGTCCTCTATTCAGACCGCGAACCCAACATTTTTTTGGTCGGCGGGGCGAGAGCGAACCTTTTCCGCTAAAAGCTAGGCGGGCTACGCACAGCTCTAATTTGGGAGACAGGGTACAGGCGGGCGGGGCCTCAGGCGGCCGGAGAGGGCGGGGCCCGGGGTGCAGGCGGTGCCGAGGAGCTTGCGCAGGGAAAAGGTACGCCGCGGACAGGAGCTGGAGGCGAAGATCCGGAGGGTGAGCGATGTGGTGTTGCCGTCAACGGCACGCCGTGAACACCAGCGTCAAGCATTGCAGAGGAGGACGTGCCACGTGACCAGGTCGTCGTCCATGGGGGATAAGACCATCATGAAGGCGCTGCGCAACGTTGTGCCACCGGATGGTGTGGAGGAGGCCCAGGAGGAAGAGGAGCACCACGAAGGCGATGTGCAGCGTTGTGCCACCAGGTGGTGCGGAAGCGGCCTGGGGTGGTAGTCCGATCCACGACCAGGAAGCAGCCAGCAAGAGGTGCGGCCAGAGACGAGGGCCGTCCGTGTCCGACACGATGTCGGTGGAGTGCAGGGAGGATATCTGACCTGCACAGTCAGCGCTTGAAGACGGGCAGGTGCCACGCACGATGCGCTGACGTCCGCGTGGCCGGGGGCCGGGCCTGAGCCGCACAGCGCCATGGCGAGCGGGGCCGCCGAGGTGGCAAGGTGCAGTGCCCGGCACCGGGCCGAAGCCGCGCAGTGCCGGGCGCCGCCGCCATGGGAAGGGGGGAAGCGAGCAGGGGGGGACGAAGCGAACAGGGAGGAGAGAGGCCGGCATCCCGCGCCAGCCGTAGTCGCGTCAACCCGCACCGTGGGTGCTCATGTGGGGGACAGGGCCCCTATGGGTACAGGTAGGACACAAGGTCCCATAACAGGTAAAGACAGGGCGCGCCACACCAGTCGTCGTCGCGTCAGTCCGCATCGCAGGTGCTCACAGTGGGAACGGCCCCCGATGGGCACAGGTGGGACACAAGGTCCCAGATCACGTAAAGACAGGAGAGGGGGAGGGAGGAAACGGAAAAGACGGGGACCAGGTGGAGTGGCAAGCAGTCGTAGCCCGTGGAACGTGCGTGCCACGAGGGCAACGGGGTACAGGTGGGGGGGGGGAAGGGAGGACACACGGTCCCAAGTCAGGTGAAAAAGGCGGGGTGGGGGCCGGGGGCACATGTGGTGGGAGTGCGGGGACGATTGTGTCGTGCTGCCGTAGAGCAAAGGGGTCAGGTCGCCGGCTGGTCAGCGCCGCGGGCGCTTTCCGGTCCAGGTGTCGTGGTGCCCGGAGCTGCGCGCTTGGTCCTCTTCGTGCCCGTCACCCTTGGCGACCTTCTTTTTTCCTGTGTACGTCCTGGTGCAGCCTCTGCTCCCGATCCCAGTCCACGTAGACGCCTGCGCTGCGGGACCACGCCTCCACGTGATGGCTGGTGGTGTTTATGTCATCCAGGAGTTTGTCAATGATCCAATGCTGCCAGCGGCTCGGGTCGAAAGGGACCTGGTTTTTGGATGTGCCTTTGCCATGCTCCTTGCACATGTGCCTGCAACACGAATGCCAGGCTGCGTTGAAGTGGAATCCCCCTTCCGCGTGCAGCCTCTTCAGGTGTGTGACTGCTGTCTCATGTGGGCGGCGCTGCCAGCCAACGCGGAAGGTTGCCCGCGTCTGATTGGTGTCGGTATGGCGGCGATCGTCCCTGTGGTAAGAGCTGCGCGATTCTGGCTGGCGCCAAGGGGTGCTCCCTGAGCCCCTGCCACTGTCGTGGTTCTGGTCCCAGTAGCGCTCGCTCCCCGGTTCTGTCCCAGTCCTTGGCGTCGTGTTTGCGCCACGGTGCCCCCGCTGCGCCCTGGTTGCGGTCGCGGTCGCGGTCGCGGTCATGATCCCCTGTGCGGGTCGGGCCGGCAGCCTCTCTGGACTCGCGCCTCACCGCCGTCGCGTACGACTCCCAGGCGACTGGCTCCCGCGCCGTGCTGCGCAAGCGCACGAGTTGGTGCGCAGGAAGGGGGTTGAATGCAGGTGGTGGGTCTTCCGGGCCTTTGGACCGGCTCCGCGTGTGCAGCTCCCGGTCATCGGCCGCGGCCTCTAGACGCACGATCGACTCCGCGGGTGCGTCGGCGGCCCTCTGGTCGGTAATGCTTGAGTCGTGCTCGGGACCTGCTGCGTCGCTCGTTACGAGGACTCGTCTTGGCTTGGTGTTCTTCGACTGTGTCGGAGTCAGAGGATGAGGAGACCGGATGGACTGTGCTTAGGGCCTCTGCGAGGCGCAGCTTCTGCTCTTGTGCCTGTTCGTCATTGGTCCAGTCGGGGCCCTCCTCCTTGGGGGGCATGACGGGTGCAGGCTCGATGGTGGAATCCTGCGCGTCTGCCTGCGGCGGGTAGGGTTCGAGTTTGGGTCTTGTCGGTACCCCCCCTGGGGACGTCGCTTTGTCTCCCCCGGTGTCGACGCCGAGCATGGGACTGTCGCGGGTTGCTGGTGCCTGCGTCCCGTGCACCTTGCTGTGGGTACTGTCGAGGAAGGCTGCTGCCCGGAGCGCTGCGTCTCCGCGGAGGACGTTCACGCGTAGCGTCCTGTCACCGGTGCCCCATACTTCCAGCCACTCGCTGCCGATCTGGACGAACTGAGTCCACCCGTCTTGTTCGCGGGCCAAGACATTAAGGACGGGTCCAAATACCGCTCCGTCCAGGGGCTGTGTCGAGAGGTCCGAGAGAAGTTCGGTGCAGTCCGCAGTGCTGAACCACCTGGCGCCGGGGAGGGTACCACTCCTGATGACCACGTAGTCGCCGCACGGGATGCACGGGCTGTCCGTTGCGAGCGGGCACAGGGAGCCCGCGATGGGCGTGTCCGGGACTCGCCCTTGCTGCCGCTCACGGCTGCCGTGTTCCGCACACTTTCCAAGGGGTTCAGGTGCCGCGCCGACGGCCGGTGGCGCCCCGACGGTGGCAGGCTGGGCTGGGGTCGGCTCGTCGCAACGCGGAGTGGGCGGGAGTGAATGGGGGGGAGTGAATCGCCACCGTGAGCGGGCGGGCAGGGTGTCGGGCAGGGTGTCAGGCGCCTTTCCTTGGTGGGTCTTGTTGACTGGGCCGGGTTGGGTGTGTGGTCGGGACGCACGCCCGCTCGGTGGGCGGTGTGTTGCCGGGCCCCGCTGCTGGACGCGCGCCCTGTGGGTGGCTGGGCGGAAGCCGTGGCGTCGGGATCCCGGGCGAGGGGTTGCTGCTTATCCTTGGGCGGTGGCGGCAGTGCAGTGTGGAGGCGGTCGTAGTAGCTGCGTTCTGCCTCGTCCCAGGCGGCCGCACGTCGCAGCACCTCCTCTTGGTCGGGGCGTGCTGCGTCTTCTGAAGATGAGGCGGGAATGCCCGGTAGTGCGGGGAGAGGTCTGGCCCCTGCACTCGAGTATACGTCAGGGCCGTATCTGTCGAGTACCTGGTTCACTGCTGACGGGGCCATGTCCCATTGGTGGATTAGGCATTCCTTGCAGTACCAGCCCGTGTGCCAGGGCTTGGCCAGGAACCTCTCCCTCATCAGTTGTACGAGTGGGAGCCCGTGGACCCGGTTGAAGCCGGCGCGGAGTCCTTCTGGGTCCGCGGCGTGCCCATACATGCCAGGGTAAGCTTGCCCTGGTCCCCACCTGTGTCCATCTGTGCCAGTGTGGCATCCATCGCATCGCCAGATGCCGACATTCGGGAAGGGATGGGAGGGAGGGATAGGGTGTCAGATGCAGTCAACACGCATAGCAAGGATGGGCAACTGTCCAAGGCTACCCTTGCATCCTTGCCCTTTCGGCCCATCCTTAACGACTTTCGTTGGCCAACCTCGTTCGAAAAAAAACGCGTCCCTCCAAGGCCCTTGCATTCTTACCGCGCGTCCTCAATATGTGTTGACTGTAAAGCCCGAGCGCACCTTGCTAGTCACTCTCCCCTCTCCTCCTCGTCCTTCTTCTCCTCCTTCTCCTCCTCCTCCTCCTCCTCCTCCTCTCCCCTCTCCTTCTCCTCCCCCTCCCCCTCCTTCTCCCCCCCCTCCTTCTCCTCCTCCTCCTCCTCCTCCTCCTCCTCCTCCTCCTCTTCTCTCGTCGTCCTCCTATCTCATTCTCATCCTCGGACTTCTCGGGTCCACGCCGGGCTTTGGCGGCGCACCCCAGCGGCAGCTCCAGCGCCGCCCCTGGCGGTGTGCGGGGAGGGGGCGTCCAAGAGGGGTGGGGACGTCAAAGCTGGAGCAATGAAATCTCCCACGTTTCGTGGCCTCTTGCGTTTTCCCAGCACGCTCCCCCCCCCACCCCCCTCGTCCGCGCACATGCTTCGGGCCATGCTGCGGTAACCTCCCTTCTTCCAGGCAACCCGTCTCGGCGCACTCGAGTGTGGTGAGGTCCGTAGCCGACCTGAGGAGTTCGCGCGCACCCCCCATGCAGGGGCCTGTACTCACCTCGCTTCTTGCCCCTACAGGTGCCCGCTGGGCAACCGCATCCCCACCTGGAACCAGCTGGTGCACGAGGGCGAGTGGAAGCGCGCGCTGGAGCGGCTGCTCGACACCAACAACTTCCCGGAGTTCACCGGCACCACCTGCCCTGCTCCCTGCGAGGAGGCCTGCGTCCTTGGCATCAACGAGAAGCCGGTGGCGATCAAGTCCACCGAGCTGGCCATCATCGAGAACGGCTTCGCCAGGGGCTGGATCAAGCCACAGCCTCCCCAGGTGCTCCGGGGTGAGCAGCGTTTCCGTGTTCTCCGCGGCCTCTCCGGCCGGGCCACGGGGCCGCGACCCCGCGGATGCGGGGCGCTGCTTCGCGGATGCCCCGCGTGGAACGCATCCGTGCAGCCGCGTACCCGCGGGATGCTCACGTCGGGCCTGTCCCTCTACAGGGGGAAGACTCAAAAACAGTCTAAAAATAGGCAGGGGGCGATCTTGTTTTAGCATGTGCTGACTATTTGTCGAGCATTTGTGGGGTGGTTTTCATGTTTCGTCCAAAATCCCCGTGTACGAGGACACGCCCGACCTAAATCCAGACCGCGAGGGCGCGGATGCGGATATGCTCGCCGCCGAGGTGCGCACCCGCAAGCGCATCGCAATCATCGGTTCTGGGCCCGCCGGCCTCGCCGCTGCGCAGCAGCTCAACCGCGCGGGCCACATGGTGCAGGTCATCGAGCGGGCCGACCGCGGGGGAGGCTTGCTGATGTACGGCATCCCCTCCATGAAGCTGGACAAGCAGGGGAAGGTCCAGCGCCGCCTGGACCTCCTCGCGCAGGAGGGCATCGTGTTCAAGTACAACACCGAGGTCGGCAAGGACGTCACGCTGGCGGAGCTGTGCGCACAGAACGACGGTGTGATCCTCGCGACAGGCTCGACGCAGTGGCGCGACATGCGGGACACCACTGGGCGCCACCTGAAGAACATCGTCCAGGCCATGGAGTTCCTGTCGATCACGCAGAAGGCCCATCTGGACGCAGAGGCGGGCGCCCCAGGGAGGGAGAGCCAGCCGTTCAACGTGGAGAACAAGTCTGTCATCGTGATCGGTGGCGGCGACACTGCGGTGGACTGCGTGGCCACAGCGGTACGCCTTGGCGCGAAGAGCGTGATGCAGTTCTCCCGCCGCGACGAGGCGCCCAAGTCAAGGCCCGCGCACACGCCCTGGCCGTGCTGGGCGGACACGTACCGCGTGGACTACGCGCACTCTGAGGTGAAGGCGATGCACGGCTCCGACCCGCGGGAATACCTTGTCAGCACCAAGCACTTCAAGGCGTCGGACAGCAATCCTGCTGCTGTGGGTGCCGTGGTTGCCGCGAAGCAGGGTCCAGAAAGCAGCGAGGTCGTGGAGTACAAGGCAGACCTCGTCATCCTCGCCATGGGCTTCACCGGGCCAGACAAGGCAGTCGACCCCCACGGGATGGTCGTGCGCGATGCTCATTCCAACTTCAAGGCCGCATACGGGGAGTACCAGGCGGAGGGGTCCCCGTGGAAGAACCTATTCGTGTGCGGCGACTGCCGCAAGGGCGCCTCCCTGGTCGTCACCGCGATCGCCGAGGGCCGTGACTGCGCGGCGCGCGTCGACACGTTCCTCATGGGCAGCACCAGCCTGCCTCGCGCGGCGCCGCTGGCGGCGAACCCGTCCTTCTACCAGCTGCCCAACCGCGGCGAGACCGAGGTCGGCCTCGTGAAGAAGCGCAACCGCCGCAGGGCCAAGCACGGGAGCTACGAGGTGAGCGACGCCTTCGAGCGGGGCCTGCTCGTGGAGGCCACCGTGGAGGAGCCGGAGGCGGAGACGGCCCTGAGCGGCAGGGCCGCGGCGCCGGAGCACGAGGCCGCGGCAGCCGAGCAGGCAGAGCCGGCGCCGCCACAGGCCGCGGCGGCGGAGGGCGGAGCGCCGGCAGCCGTGGCCGCGCCAGCGCAGGCGCAGCCTCCTATGTGGATGGCGGCGGCCTTTGGCGGCATGGCCACCCTGAACGTCATTCTGGTGGCGGCGGTGGTCGCACTGGCGATGAAGCCTCGATCGTGACCTGCCGGGCGGTGGGGACGGGCCAAGTGAGCCAGGGGCAGAGGAAACGACACCATGAAGTTGAAGCGGGGATCCAAGGCTTCGTGGAAGGAGGGAGGCCTTCTGAATTGCTCCCCCTGCCTCGCGAATGCAGTGGAGTTTTTATCGGATCAATTCCGCCCTGCTCCTTCGCGTACCCACGGGTGCATGCATGTATAACAAATCATAAAGAGGCATAATTGTAAACGCTCGGAGGTCCCCGCGGATTTCTTGGGTCGGCACTGAACCCCTGGCGGCGCCTCTGGCACCACCCCTGGCGCACGCGCCCGCGTGCCAGGGAGGGGGGTCCAGCGCCGAACCCAGAAATCTGCGCGGGCCTCTGGGAGTTTGTATTTATGTCATGTCCAGCTCTTCCGGTTGATTCTTGCAACTCTTTGTGTCCATAGACAGTCGTGAAATGATATGGCTTTGCCGTTCCCTGTTGTCGAGCGACGGGGTTAGTTTCTGCGCGGCCTCCGCAGTGTTGCTCGCCTCGACGAGCTTTGTCGTCGGGCTCTTGGATTTCTTCTGTTGTGGAGCGACAGAGGCCACGCACGCGCATCGTGTTCCTGAAAGCTCAGTGGGTTTCTTGTTTTCCGGCGCATCCTCCAGCCTCCTCCCACTCATCTCGGGGGCGGCAAAGAGCATAGAGGGGGGTAATGACTAGGGGTGTGTGGATGTCATGGCGGGGGACGAGATCTGCCCAGATTTCATGGCGCCTCTTCTTATTTCAATGCATCCCTGGTCCCCCCCTGGGCCGCGCACATGCCGCCAGCCATGATTTGCGCCCCCCCCTCTTGGACGCCCCCCTCTTGGACGCCCCTGATCATCCTCATCATGATATTTTCATTTGGCTTATCCTCCTGCGCTGTGCTTTTATCTTCTCTCATTCCTTCCTTCTATCCCTCCTGTCCTCCATCCAGCTGAGTGCGCGAAGCCTGATGGGCGCTTGTTCGGTGACATCGGTCTACTGGTTGGTCCTCGCTAGATATGTACCCCATTCAGGAAAGTGATGCCCATACACCAAAACCAACATAATCGTCATCCCAGATCATCTGACCATTGACGTGTTGCCGATAAATGAAGGACTCACCATCGTCACCATCACCACTATCACTATCACTAGCACCATCATCATCATCATCAGCATCATCATCATCATCATCAGCAGCATCATCATCATCATCATCATCATCATCATCATCATCATCATTATCATTATCATTATCATCATCATCCGCCTCATCTTCATCATCCTCATGATCATCATCATTGTCAGTTTCATCATGGTCATCATCATCACCACCATAATCATCATCAGCATCATCATCATCATCATCATCATCATCATCATCATCAGCGGCTTAACCCCGGCCACCTCGAGGTGCCTGGATCATCATTAGCATCATCATCATCTTTGTCGTCGTATGGTTAGCGCGGCAGCACGGCATCACACCTGATCCTTCAAACGAGTCATCACTTATATTAGCTTGAATGATTCAGCGGCTCAAGTACGCCACATCTGCCAACCTCTTGGGTGCACGTCTCGATCCTTGAGGCCCCGGTGCAGGCCGAAGGCTATTACTCGGTTTTGTGGGTCCTGTCGAGGGGCCAATGATCCGGAGGGGTCCCGTTTAGGGCGGGGGGCTTCGCAGGGTCCAAGGTTGTTGAAATATAGAAAAGGAGATAAACATATATATATATATGTATATATATGTATATAATATAGTATAATATAATATAATACAATATAATATAATGTAATATAATATAATATAATATAATATAACATAATATAATACAATACAATATAATATAATATAACATAATATAATATAATAAAATATAATATAATATAATATAATATAATATAATATAATATAATATAATATAATATCATATAATCTAATATAACGTATAGGAGTAGGCCGGGGGGCGAGGCCGGGCCGGTGCTGGGGGGTCACAGACCCCCCGGGACTGCCCCGGGCCGGTTCCAAATTGCCCACGACAGGCCACGCGGGCCGTACAGATGGTCAAGAAAGCCTCAACAGGCCCCGAAGACGCCCAAGAGCGCCCCAAGAGGGCCCGAGATGGCTTGAAGATGGCCGAAGAAGGCCCCAAGAGGGCCTTCAAGAGGCAAACATCTGCCCATTCCTTTCGTAAGACGTACATTTTCAGCATATACTACTCGCTTGCTTCGTCTTCACAGTGCCCCAGACGACCCCGACGAGCCCCAACGCGCGTGAGATCCAAGAGGGCACAAGACGGCCCAAAAGGGTCGTCCTGTGGGGCTCACTGAACCCCCCGAGACGGCCCAAGAAGCCCCAAAGCCAGCCCAGGAGGCCCCCAAGACGGCCTCAGGGAGGCCTAAGAAGGCCTCGCTCGAAATCATGTTCCCGGAAGTTTCTCCGGGAACATGATTTCCGGGTTCCGAGGACGCCCAAGAGGTCCACAAGACAGCCTCAGCGAGGCCCAAGAGGACCCGAGGTGGTTTGAAGATGGCCGAAGAAGGCCCCAAGAGGGCCTTCAAGATGCAAACATCGGCCCATTCCTTTCGTAAAACGTACATTTTCAGCATGATTGCTTCGTCTTCCTAGTAACCCAGACGCCCCCGAGGAGCCTCAAGACAGCTCAAGAGAGACCCAAGAGGGTCCAAGACGGCCCAAAAGGGTCGTCCTGTGGGACTCACGGAACCCCCCATGAGGCCCCGAAGCCGGCCCATGAGGTCCCCAAGCCGGCCCTGGGGAGGCCCAAGAGGGCCCCGTTCGAAATCAGATTCCCGGAAGCCTCTCCGGGAACATGATTTCCGGGTTCCCAGGACGCCCAAGAGGCCCACAAGACAGCCTCAGCAGGGCCCAAGAGGGCCCGAGATGGCTTGAAGATGTCCGAAGAGGGCCCCAAGAGGGCCTTCAAGATGCAAACGTCGGCCCATTCTTTTCGTAAAACGTACGTTGTCAGCATACTCGCTTGCTTCGTCTTCACAGTGCGCTAGACGCCCCCGAGGAGCCCCAAGACAACCCAAGAGAGACCCAAGAGGGCACAAGACGGCCCAAAAGGGTCGTCCTGTGGGGCTCACGGAACCTCCAAAACGGCCCAAGAGGCCCCAAAGACGGCCTTGGAGGCCCCCAAGACGGCCTCAGGGAGGCCCAGGAGGGCCCCGTTCGAAATCAGATTCCCGGAAGCCTCTCCGGGAACATGATTTCCAGGTTTCCAGGACGCCCGAGAGGGCCCCAGGACGGCTCCAAAAGGGCCCTAAGAGGACATTCGAAAAGGCCCGGAGGGCCACAGTTCGTTGATTTGCGCGAGATGTTGCTGGATTTCTTCCGCGCGGAGGAGACGGAGAGGGCGAAGGAGGAGGAGAAGGAGGAAGAAGAGGAGAGAGGAGGAGGAGGAGGAGGAGGAGGCGGAGGAGGAGGAAGAGAGGAGGAGGAGGAGGAGGAGGAGGAGGAGGAGGAGTAGGAGAAGGAAAAGGAGGGGAGGAGGAGTGAGGGGGAGGGCTCGAGGGCGATCGACGATCGGCGACGGTGATCGGCGACGGTGATTGACGATGACGGCGACAGTCGTCGACGGCGACGACCGAGGACGACGACGATCGACGACGATGACAGCAGTTGACGCCGCCGATCGGCAATAGACGACGACGGCCACGGCGACGGCGGCGACGCTGTCCGCGTGCACCGAGCCACTTTGGGCTCAGGTCGGCACCGGGTGGCGGGTTTCTCCGAAGGGCTTCGGCGACCCGTCCTCCTCAGCCTCCTCCTCCTCCTCCTCCTCCTCCCTTCCTCCTTCCTCCCCCTCCTCCCCTCCCTCCCTCCCCTCCCTCCCTCCCTCCCTCCTCCCTCCCTCCCTCCCTCCTCCCTCCTCCCTCCTCCCCCCCCTCCTCCTCCTCCTCCTCCTCCTCCTCCTCCTCCTCCTCCTCCGTAGCCATTTTGGCTCAAGATGCCAGGTTCCACAGGGGAACAAGTGGATACCGCTAGTCCGCGGCTGGCAAGACCCATTGTGGTCTGGCAGAGTTTCTCTCTCATCCTGTCGCTCGCCTCCACGGGTAAACGGAGGTGTTTCCCGTTCCTGTGCTGTCGAGCGCCGCAGTCGCCATGGGGCTCCCCGACGCTGCATCGCTCGCCAAAGTTGCCCAGGAGCTCGATGACATGCCCACCTTTCCTGTGGATGACCATGACGATGACCTCCATGATCGGGGCTCACCTGAGCACAAGTACCCGCGCACAGAAGACGGCAAAGGCGGCAACTCCAGTGGCAAGGGTGTTGCTGGCATGGCTGCCCGCGCAGCGGGCGCTGTTGGCTCTGCTCTGTTCGGCGGTCGTTGCGATTCTCAGTGTACTCCTGGCTCGTCACCTGCTGGCGCCCATCGCGACCCTGCCCAACCTCCAGTGCAGCAGCCCCAATATGATGATGACTATATCAGGCATGTCGCAGCAAATGCAGTTGCTGAACAATTCGGAAAACTACGATCGGAGCTGGAATCTTTGGTTGGATCTACCGTTGGCGCAACCGTGCAATCGTCCAACAAATCTATTCTCGAAACACTTGAATCTCTGCGAGTACAGATCTCAGCCCAGCCGAAAGAAATTGACCAGCAGATCATGGCCACTGTTCGCCCGCACATCGATGCCATTCACCGCGGCCTCCAGTCCAAGATTGACTCCCTCGGCTCTCATGTCAACACGCTCTCGATCGATGTCGAGAAGCACACTGCAGACATCGCCGACCTGCGTAAGCAGATGGAGGAGCTCCGCGGCGAGCTCATGGTCGCCAAGCGCACCGAGAAGGCTCCCACGGCACCACCCTCCTTCGATCGCGTGGAGGACCCCTCAGTCGTCGTCGCCATGGCTACGAAGATGGTTGGGATCGATGCTGTGCGTGCTTCACTCTCTCCCTTCTTGGGGGAGCTGGGCTTGGACGCATCATCATACACTATCAAGTCTGCTGGTCCGACTCCAAGCAGAAGGTACCTCATCTCTTTCAACGGCAGCGTGGGACTCGCGTCCAAGTATGTCAACAAAGTCCTGTCCAACCTCAGGCAAAACGATGAATGGCGTATCTTCCAGGCAGATGTGTCAGGCTCAACTCCCGCTCGCCTACATCTTGGACCAGACAAAAACCCAAAGCAAGTTAAAACGGAAATGGCGCTCAGGAAGCTACGTGCTGCCCTCGCTGGCAAATACGAAGGGCGTTGGGCCGTGGACAGGGAGCGCGGTGTCCTTCGCTGTGGGTGGACGCGTATACTCAAGCTCTCCGCCCAACCTGACGACCAGCCATTCGACATCCTCTACAACGACGAGGGCCTCAATGAGGTTGGCATTGCCAAGCACGAGGTCCGCGAGCTGGTCCAGTCCACCATTGCGCCGCCACCGCCACCGCAGTGGTGTCTTTAACGAGCTGATGCAGATGTTC